TACAATTTATATTATAAACTTATTTAAATATTTTTAATAAAAGACATAAAAAATAATTTCAGTTATATATTTAAAAATTTTTAAAAATAAAAGACCTACAGTTAAAGTGTAAATCTGCACTGTCAAACCAACGAGGGATTGGATCAAGTGGTAAGCGGCTTGTTTCAGTTTAAGCAAGGTTTCGAGTTCAAGACATTGTGAATGCAGCAACTCTCGCTGGGAGACTCACCCACCATTTTCAGGTGCGCGACGCGGGTCGGGTTCGAATTAGTCGAGGTGAAGCATCGGATACCGGGCGGGAAACAAAAAACCAAAAAAAAAATCTGCACTGTCAAACCAACTCTCAGCCCTGGTAAGTAAGATAAAGGCTTTCCATATATTTTTGCCGGACAAAGAGAGAGCCTGAACCATTGCCTATTTTCAAAAAAAAAAAGAAAAGAGAGGGAGAGTCTGAAGTGCACGTGCTTTATAAGAAGTAAACCCAAGTCAACAGACCTTGTAGAACCAAACTGACTTTGTTTAAAGTAAGAACAGAGGCCTCTTCCTTCTGCTAAGATCCCGTGAATCTCAGCCACTCCATTTATCTCAGTCTCCCAGTCTCAGTCCCAGTGAAAACCGTCCTCATTCTCACATTTTTGGTTGTTGATTTTTCTAAGATGTAAGTCATGATGAGCAAGATAGAGCCAGGGATTGGTCGCAACTTGCCAGTCTTATATAGGCAAATCACATTTCTCTCTTACTATGGATTATTCTCAAATCTTAGATCTGCTACATAACTTCATGTATTTGTAGACTTTTAGCATGCTTTTGATATTTTCAACAAGTCATATGTACACTAGGGTGTTTAAAATCATGAATTTACATGAAAATATGTGAGTGATGAAAATGAATTTTGAATGGGTATTGCTCAGTTGCTATTTAGTATTAATTTTGTGTAATTAAATTGTGTAAGAAATAGTTAATTTGTGTAATTTTGTGTAATTAATTGTGTATATTAATTTTTTTTTTTGCCATCGTACAAGAAATAGTTGCAAAATTGGAAAATGGTGACAAATAATTACTTTTGAAGGGTTTTGTTTTTTTTTTTTGAAGGTGCAGAAGGGTTTTGTTAAAGTAAAAGATCTGAGATATTGAATTTGTTTGGAATTATCGGGTGGTTATCTGGTTGTTGCTACAGAAAAAAAGGACTGTAAAATTAATCTTAGAAAATAAGAAATATTAAGAGTATGTTTAATTTGAAAAAAATAAATAAGAGGAAAGAGAGACAAGAGATGATTTTAACTAATTAAATTTTAATGTTTGTTAATATTATAATTTAATTAATAAAAAAATATATGCATTCCTTCCCTTCTGTTGAACCTAGTGTATGCTAAAGGAGGTAAGGGTAATTGTTTTGACTTTTTGAAAACAATTATCTGCTGTTATATTTAATTAAATAAATTAGATATTTTAAATTATAAATATTAACAATTATCAATTATTAGATATTAAATACCAATTATCAACTGTTTTGAAAAAGCTAATTTAATCAACGTAATAAATAGGTGTTTTTAGACTTGTTTTACAGGTATTATTTTTAATATTTGTAGTAATATTTTAAAT